ACTCCAGCCACAATTAGCAACACACACAGGTACTTGGCCTTTGGGTACTTCTTCTTCAAGAGGGTAACTCCAAGGAGCATGACTACAGGGAAGAAACAGTGGAAAATTCGGGTATCCACAGGCATTGATGAGCCCAACACTGTCCTCTGAGGAGACTCCTGGGAGAAAACAATGTCTGAGAAGGAAGGCCTACAGAAGCTAAGAGGAAGGCACAAGGCTGGCACCTGGACAGAGAGGACTGAGCAACGGGGGGAACAAAGGGTAGAGGCAGGGAAAAGGCAGAGAACAAAGGTGAAAGGTCCATGAAGGAACAGGGAAGGGGCGGGGACAGCGGATGTGTGCGAGGCTGCGAGAAAGAAACTGACAATGACAATGGGACTCAACTCTAATGACAATGGAAGCACACAGGACACCAAAATGACTGGCATGCGAAGCAGACTAGGTCAGCCTCTAGCTTCGGGCCCATGCACACCCAACACCACCAGAAGTGATACGGAAGGCGGGATGGCAGGGGGAAGGGATGGGTGGCCGGCTCTGGAGATAGCTGTGATGAGATGACAACCCCGAAGGGATACACAGCTCTGGTAGAGGAGTAGAGAGCCTGCTATAGGAAGAGTGAGGATGGTAGAGGGAGACCATCTGCTTCCGCTTACCTGGGATTGGCTTGCAGGATTTACCAAGGACCTGAAACAAAATTCAGCAAATAGTACCTGAGCCTCTGGGATGTGCCAGGCACTGTGCTAGGTGCTCTGTTAAGAAAAGTAACTGTGGGGCCTGCACCAGAAACCACAGTCTATCATGGCCAACCCACCACCACTAGACCTCAGATCTATGGTTCTTTGCCCTCTGAATTTCTCCAACACATTCCCCTTTGTTTAAGTCACAGACCTGAGCCAAGAATTCTTAGTTCTTTTCAAACAACTTCTGAGCCAACCCTCATCACACCCTGAGACTTCACCTGAGTCGGATAGTTGACAAACTGTAGTGCCGAGTTGCTGGAGACCATGGCACCCAGATAGGAGACAGAACAGGCAGCATAAAGCCAGCTCCGGGTACGATCCACCCTGGCAGTGTCAAAAAACTGGATCACTGGGAAGAGACAAAAAATGTGTAAGAGAAACCTGGTGGGCCCAGGATGGGCCACTGAACCAAAGTTGAAGCCACATGAAAGGAATGTGTCAAATAAGACGAGAAGCACAAGATATTTCTGTCCTCCTAGACTGGGAAATCTCTGAAGATTATTCAACTCTCCAATCTCACCTACACCTAACACATGCAGAGCAGGAATGGGGGCTCATTCAGTTCAAGGGACTCGTTAGCTCTGCTGTAGCCCCCAGGGAACAAAGAGAGCAGCTCAAAACATGTTTGAGGCGGAAACATAAAGGAAAATCAAAGGGAAGAAAGAAGGAAAAAACTAAGTATTCTCAGTGGGGATCCGGCACACAGAAGACCCATTCTCTGCACATTTCTGACTCAGAAGTTGGTCTAATGTAAAGAAATAGGGTTTTACCCCATTCCAAAGCCATTCGTTTTGTAGACTGAACAGAGAGGCTTTGAAAACGCTAAAGAAGGTGGGAGTGCTGACAGTTAAACCTTAAAGGTGGATAGGGAGGGGGCACACAACAGATTACTAGATAGGTACTCACAGATCTTGGCAAACACAGCATTGATCACACATTGAATGAAGACCAAAGTTAAGGCAAAGGTGAACGTCTCCTGCTTGGCTCCCTCCCCATACTTTCCTCTTGTTCTAAGAATGAAATGATGAGAAAAAAAAAAAGAGAAAAATTAGTGTATTTCACTCAGTGTCACCTAGGATGTCTAGAGTCACCGAAAGCTTTAAAATGATCTTGCTTCTCTGGATGTAGGGACAGTCTGGTAAGGTTCACTGGCCTCATTCACAAAAGGGGCTGATTTTATTGGATCTAGAAGCCAGACATCCCAGCCTGCTGATCCCGTAGCTTAGGGAAAGAATATCCGTAAAGGATGGAGCTAGAGGAAACGTGGAAAATTAGACGGTGAAACGAGATACCCCAAGCAGCAGATGAAGGGATTTGGGCTACAGCAGCAAAGCCGAGGGCAAAAGAATCCGCTGTCCGCAAACATCTGGAAGTACCAAAGAGGAGCTGGCACAGGCAAGGAAACCTGTGTGTGGAAGGGGGTACAACTGCCAGCCTGTAAAGCCCAAGCGCTTAGAACCATAGGGAAAAAACAAGGAAAGAAAAATAACCAGGTCCCGAGTATCCCGAGACCAACTTTCGCGTTTGGGAAATCTGAGCAGGCTCAGCCGCGGCTGCAAAGGTGTCGGGTGCTGGGGGCGGGCAAGAAGGAACACCTGGGCCAGGGGCGGGAGGCCCGCAAACCGGGCCAAGGGGCGAGAGAGGGGGCAGGTCTGCGCTCCGGTCCCGGGGATCCGCTCACATCTTTTCCTGCAGGATCCCATAGTAGAAATAGCAGACAAAGACGCCGAGGAAGCACAGCGGCAGGCGCAGCCGGTCGGGCACCAGGGAGCTGCTAGCGGCCATGAGACGCCCGGACGACCCGACCGGAGACCCGCTCACAGCCGGCAGCGGCAGTGGCGGCGGCGGCGGCGACAGCTCCAGCCGGACATCGCCGACCGGCGACAGGGGCCTCATAGGAGCTGCATGCGACCGCCGCTCAGTAGGCCCCAGCAGCCACCGCCAGAGCTGCCGGCTCAGGGCCTCCGAGGGGGAAACGCTTCGGGTCCCAGAAACCGTTTCCAAGGAAAGGAGACCCGCCCTGGGGCCTCGGCTTCGTCCCTGATGGCCGAGGGAGCCACCCACCCTGACATTAATGCTGTGCCCTGGAGTCTTCCGATCAGGCAACTCCGAGGACAACTGCGACCCGGAGCTCGACGGGATGGCCTAGGAGCTACGCGGGCGTGGAATGATGACGTATAAGGATGTGGAGGTCCCCAATTGGCTGCGCTGTGTGAAGACAGACAGGTGAGCTGGAAGGAGGTGCGGCCGGCCGGGTTAATCCCAATCTCTTCCCCAGTCGGCGGTCAGGCTTCCGCTGGGTCCTAACGCCAGGAAGTCTCAGTGGACCCTCAGCGCCCCCTAGCTGCTGCCCCGCGTCAGCGCCTCCCCTTTTACAAAAAGAGCGTTCAAGGCTGGCGTTTGAGAGCTGTCCTCCTTCTGAGGGCACATCACTAGGCTTCCAAAGGGGTAACCTACGCGTGTCGCCTACATTCCGAGCGACAGTTTTCCCAGCCTGGAAACTTGGGATAGACAATTAGCAGCAACCACCTTGTCGCCTCTCGACTGTTCTGAGGATTAAATGAGCTGAGGTTTGTGAAAGTGTTTCAAAAACCGTGAAGTGTGCTATGCAAGTTTAAGGTATCATTAGTCATTACACTTTCTCAACGCTGATCTTATTTCCTCACATCCTGGAGGTGGAAATGGAAGCTTACCAAAGTGGATTTTCTCCGGGGTCTTACACCTCACCAACAGTACAACAAACCCTCCTGCTGCCCTCCAGATTCTTTCCCATTCATGACCTCCTTTTTGGACCCCTTCCTCATCCAAGTGTTGGCCCTCCACCTGCAGGCACCAAGAGCTAGGGCAACACCCCAGGACTTTCCACTACAACCCCCAAGCCCCACTTAGTCACTGGACTCTGGGCTGCTATCTGGGTAGAGGCTCCTTCTCTGCTTCTGACAGCCCACTTCTTTGGCACAGCCTCAGGCAAAGGAAGGAAACTCAGGGCAGCACCACACCCATCACTCCAGGCCCTGACTCACTAAGGCTTTGGGGGTAGGCCAAACATCTTTCAGGGGGAGGGGTAAGAAATAGAAGATAGGGTCTGTCCTCAAGCCCCTGTCTCTTTTTACATCAGTGCGGATGGGGCCCCCACATTTGCTCTCCCGCCCAGTGGCTCATTCCACTGAATCAGCCTGTGATTCCAGGGCACCATACAGTAGCTGGGGTGAGAGACCTGGGTTGCAGTCCTGGCTCTGCCGCTTCACTAGCTGGGACTTCAAACAATTCTCTTGACCTCTGAGTCAAACTAGTTTCCTCATCTGAAATTAATGCGAAGATAGTAACAAGTGGGAGAGCACTGTGGTTAAGAAGCATGGGCACTGGATTCAAGGGATCTGCTTCCCCATCTTAGCTCCCCCACTTCCTGTGTCTTGGGGGTAAAGTTATACAATCTTTCTGTCCTCTCATCAGTACAGTGGGATTTATCACATTTCTCTCATTGGGTTGTTGTGATATTTCGGTAACATTTTATGTCAAGCACTAACAGGGTATCTGATGCTTACTGGGCCAATGAATGGTAGTTGGGATAGCCTGCCTTAGGAGTTTGTCTCGAGGTCTTCTGACATAGCTACAATTGTAGTTATTATGACTGCCCTTGGGGTAGTCAACTTTTCACCCATACAGTGGGGATAATATGTCGTGAAAAAGCTTGTAAAGCGTAAAGCACCATCAGAATGTCGGGATGATTATTCCCATTTCTCCCCAAAGCCTCTGAGCTCTTACAGGTGCAGCATTATAAAGCTGAGAGGCTGCAAACCCCTCTGTGTTGTGGGTACTCACGAGATGGAAAGAATACTCCAGTAGAGCTAAAGCTTCCCTAAAACTGTGCCAAGAGATTCAACCCGATGACCATTCCCTGGTCCTGTTCCCCTTGCCGGTGCACCACAATGTCAAACTTGGTCACCCTCACTTCCCCTCTGAAACCCACTCTCCCTGGGGAGCTTTTCCAGACTCATCCAAGAAAAAATGACTTCCCCCACTGCCTTCTTCACCCCACCCTCCATCACCCCCTTCATTCTGGACAGCCTTTCCATGGACCTACTGCTTAGATGTCCATCTAAAGAATCCAAGCCTGGTGACCTGAGGACAGGGACTCTGTGCATCCACGTAACACCCACATCCACATCATTATGTGTTAAGTAGAGACCCCTCTTGAAGACAAGGATGATCAATATCACACGCTCAATCCCCTCCCCCCAAAAAATGTTTAACAGAACCTCAAGCTGCTGGGAATACTTATTTATTTGGTCTATTAACACCAAGATCTGCAAAAAACAACTTCTAAACACAGGGTAAGAAAACGAACGTTAACATTCTTCTTCAGTTTTGTGTAAGCTCTGCAGTACGGAAAATATACAAACTTCAAACAGCTGCAAAAATAGTGTCTTTGGGAGAAAATAGAGTTTCTACATCAATACAAGAAAAATAGGCATTTTTCTACTCCAACCCAGTCCCGGGGCAGGCGGAGGGTGTAGAGTCGCCGCTTGCCACCCGGAGGAATACCAGCTCTCCCTCTCCCCCCGCCACCCATCTGGGGCTGGGCAAGCTGGGCTGCTTCAGACAATCTTAGGGTGAAAGCGAGATGAAAATGCCACTTGGGAAAACGCTTGGTTCCCCGCTCTGCCAGCAGCTGGATTGGTCAAGTGTTAGGGCCCTTTAGGGCTGCTTTGGTCAGCTCCTCCAATGAGAGGGGGGCACGGGGGTGGGGGCTGAGGGGATGGGGCTATCTATCTTCGGGTCTTCTCTTCCGTGGCTGTGGAGGAGAGAGAAGGAAATCTGCAGTGTCCCCTCTCCTTCCATCATGGCCAGCTTGCTCCATGACAAGGTCAAGAGCCCCATAGACAGTCCTTTGGACTCACACCCAGGGGTGGGGGACCCAAGACCTTCAGGTGAGCTTTCCACCAAGTGAGAGAGGCGGCAAGAACACAGATGTGACTTGTGAGCTGCCCAGCTGCTAGTGGAGAAGGCAGGTCCCCTCACATTCGGAGGGGCCGGTATCCCTCAGAAAGAGGACCCGGGGCTTTGACACAATAAATGAAAGTGCTCGAAGGCCGAGAGGGAAGGGCTCCTTCATCCCCCACCTCAGGGGAGCTAGGGAGGGGCCTGCCACCAAGGCACTGGTCTCCATGGTGAAGTGGTGGGGTTGGGGCCCTCAGACCACCAGGGAACTCTGGAAAAGCACGGGCTCTTCTGATGGCGGGGTGCGCTGCCATGGCTCGAATGGCAGCGAGGAGGCTTTGGAGGCCTCTGGATCCTTCCGAGGCGGTGGCCTGGGGCTGGCAGGGGGAAGGGGGGACCCCGGGCTTGAGGGGCAGTTACGGAAAATGAAGCCCATGCTGGGGAAGAGGGGCTTCATCAAGCTGACAGGGCAGAAGGCCGAGCCGGTCGGGTTGAAATGGACTTTGTTCTTGTCAGGACAGGAAGTCAGGAAGGCCAGGTCAGGACCTGGGGACCTGGAGAATGGAGAGAGAAACACACACACACACACACGCACACACACACAGTGGAGAGGGGGGAGAAACAGCCAGTGAGAAGTGATGGGAGATGTCATGGCATCAGGGGAGCAGGGGAGCTGGGTCTCTGTTCAAACAGGTGGTAACTCAACCAAAAAACTACAGGCTGCTGAGCAACACCCAGTCTTTAGGCCCACAGCAATCCATTTATTAGGAATATGGCTGAACAATAGGAAATCTACTTCAGCTAGAAACAGGAGGGATTGAAGCTAGACAGGAAGGAGAACTTCCTGACGAGGTGACTTTAGAAGAGGAGACCAAGGGATCTTTTAACTTGAGAGATTTCATCAGTAAACAGTGTTTTGAGGGCAGACCACTTGCCTAAAAGCAGAGACCCATGCAAAATGATTTTCTAAGACTTTGGACAGCCTAAAGCAGGGTTTCTCAGCATCAGCACTACTGCCATTTTGAGCTGGATAATTCTTAGTTGTGGAGAGCTGTCCTGTGCATTGTAGGATGCTTAAGAGCACCCCTGGCACCTGCCCACTAGATGCCAGGGGCCACCTGTGTCCCCCTTAAGTTGTGACAACTAAAAATGTTTCCTGACATTGCCAAATGTCCCCAGGGCGCAGGGAAGGGGGGGGATGTCTCCCACTGAAATCTACTGACCTAAGGAGTCTCATTCTTGAACACATTTGAAAGGTGTGATTTTTCAAAGCCCTTGCTGAGATGCAAGGGTAACAACCATGGCGGGAAGGCAGGCCGACCTTCACAGGAGGTCTGGGCTCTAACTCACCATGTGGTCTTGACCCACCTGCCTCACCTTGAATGTGGAAAGAACCACCCGCCCCCTCCTGATCATGTGGAAGAAATGGAAGGATAAAAGGGTTGAGGTCAGGGAGTTCTAGAGTAAGGAATCCTTATGATAAAGAGGAGTGTCTGGCCATGCTCTGAGGGGAAGCGGTTGAGAAGCCGCTGGTTGTGAGGGCTCCTGGGGAAAAGGCAAATGTGTGGTGTGATGGTGAAGCTGTTACCAGTGGATCCGTCGACTGCCTTCCTCTTTATGTATAATATATAGACAGAAAAATGCACTTAGGGCATAGCATGGGAAATTGATGACCATTTTAACTGTAGAATTCTAATAATTCCAAACCCAGGAAGAAGAGCAAGACAGGAGGGGGGTAGGGGTGAGCCCAGAGCGAGAGGTGGAAGAGAGAGGTGAAGACCCATGTGCTGGGTGTATCTGGGAAGGCCCGGGGTCCCAGCGGAGTCCACAGCGGCAAGGTCGCCCCTGACCAAGAAGGGTTTACAAGAATCCCACTTTATGGACGGTGAGGAATGGGCAGGAGAGGGGAATGCTCTCACTGTGTGCATGCCCACGTGGGGAAGGTGACCCAGGAGACCAAGCCCCACTCGAAGGACAAAGGGCATGACCCTGAATGGCTTGATTCCCCTCCTGGGAAATCCAGGCCATCTTATAGGATCAGCAGCTAGGAAAAGGAAAATGTGACAGAGGAACTGCTAAACACAAGAACTTCCCAATGGGCAAGCAATACAAGGAAGAGGCCCCAGTGAGCTGAGAACTTCTCTCCCAAGGCCTCTTGGAAAGGAATCCATAGGTCACCACCTCTTTTTTTTTTTTGAGATCATGACCTGAGCCGAAATCAAGAGTCGGATGCTTAACCGACTGAGCCACCCAGGGCCCCAAGAGTCACCATCTCTCTCAAAGGATTAACACAGGGACAGGAAGCCTGGGGAGATGGCCTGAAGACCCCAGCTGGCATCGTGAGTCTGTGGAAGAATCAGGATGGGCACCAGCCTCATTTCCACAAGCAATCCCAGGCGGTGGCTACTCAAGTATAACGTGGACTGGGGAGAGACACAAGTCCGCTTAAGCTGCAAGATCTGGTCTTTTTCCTCCATACCACCCCTGAGGACCCAGGCTTCTTGGAGAGCTACATAGCGAAGCTGGGAGCAAACACCCCCGGGGCCATGGCTTTCTCCCTAACTCCCACTGTGCCTTCTCGCTGTACCCTCTGTCGCTACCACGGACTGTCCCTGACCCGCGACAAGAATGGAGTTCTCAAGGCTCAAACCCTGTCCTAGCTACATCTCAGCTCACACACCAGGACCAAGTCTTCCTAACTGAGAATCTGCCCTTCTGACTATGAAGCTGGTGGAGGGAAGGAAATGAGCTCTTGGGGTGCCTGCTACGGGGGACCGGGTGGGCATTTGAAAAGGTTCGGCCCTCCCTCTCTGCTAATGGGAGGGAACCGTGGTAAAGAAGTCAGTCAACATCAGAACGGCTTCTGAACTCATCCCACCTGGTTTGGGTGTATTCCACGGTCCTTCCTTGTAAGGACTGGAAATTTCTGTCTGGGAGTTTATGACCCTTGAACCACTAGAGCCACAGGGTGAAGACTTGACTCAGAGGCAGGGAGGAAGCTGTTCAGGTCCCCCTGCCACTCCACTGGGGACAAGACACTTCTCATCTCTGCCTGAAGAGAACTACTAATAGGTTCTCTCTCTCTCCGATTACCATCTAGCAAACTCACACCTTCCCCAGGGATGGAAAAAAAAATAGAAAAAACAAAGGGTTCAGGTTTCAGATCTCTTTCCTTTCCAGCTCCCACAGCACTTGTGGCTGGCATGTGGGCAGAGAGCAGGTTTCCATAGAGATCACGATAAGCAAAGATTGAAGGGCTCCGGGTAGGTAATGTCAACAAGTTTGATCGTGGAAAAAGTGTGATCCTGATCATCTGAAGTTGACAACGGCCCCAGGCTGAGAGAGCCCAAGAGGGAAGAAGGGCCTGTCAGAGAGGACAGTGCAGGGCTCACTCCCATCCCCGGCCCCGCCCCACCCCCCCCACAGTCCACGGTCCACGGTCCACAGGAGGTACTCACACGGCCTCTTCGAACACACGCACTCTCTCGCAGCCTTCCGGGGGCTCCCGTTTGAAGACGTAGCTGTGATTGGGCCGAGGGGAGGCGGCAAAGGCAAGGACCGGAGACGGGCTGCTGTCTTCAAGGCAGGCTGGGCGGCCCGGAGAGGGGGCTGCAAACAGAGTGAGGCTGAGGCCAGTGGCACTGAAGGAAAAGAGGCTCTCCGCTTTCCTGGGCTCAGGCTTCGGTGTAAAGGGGCGAGACTGGGACATGTGGTGAGGGGGTTGGCAGTGCTTATGCTAATCCAGGCTGTTTGTCCATGCTTTATTTACCTTCAAGTAGCTTTTAAGAAGGCTTACAAAAATCTATATCTTGTTATACAGAATAAAAAAAATACAGTTGAGGGGCACCTGGGTGGCTCAGTCGGTTGGGTGACCAACTCTTGATTTCAGCTCAGGTCAGGATCTCAGGGTTGTGAGACTGAGCCCCGCGTCGGGCTCCATGCTGAGCAGGAAGGCTACTTAGGATTCTCTCTCTCCCTCTGCCCCTCTGCCCCTGTGCTCTCTCTCTGAAATAAATACATAAATCTTTTAAAAAAATACAGTTGAATTGATGGAAAAATCAGGTCTAATAGCAATTCTGTATTCTCAGGAGGTAGACTACAATTGGGACTCCAAGTCTGGCTTAAAGGAATCCTAACTTCTGTCTCCCTGCTTTCTTCCAAGACCGCACTGCCCTGCTGCTGCCAACATACCACAGCTTTGTCCTCTCCACAGCCCTGCAAAGCTATCCCTTCTTCCAGGAAGAGCTCTTGTACCAACTCAGAGAAGCAGTCTTTACTCAACCCCACTTGTGGGATAAAATCCCTCTCTCTTTCCACACAGTGAATGTACTTTGCCTAGGCTGCAAATATTGACTTTATCTGTATTTATCTTACATTTATTCCTTATTACCCTATGCTCCGTTTACCTCTGTGTAGTGTGAGATTATGCCCTTGACCAGCCTACCTCACAGGGTGCTGTGAGAATCCAACTGGGGGAGGCAGGCCACAGTGCTTTAGGACAGGAGGATCGTTATCGTGGGGAGGAAGGGCTTGGGTCTCATCCTCCCGTAAAGGAACCAGGGCACAGGACAAAGTAGAGGTTTGGAGTTGGAAAGCCTGGCTTTCAATCCGGGTCAAACAGCGTGACCCTGGGGCAAGAGACCACATTCGCTTATTGTCTACCTTTCCCAAACACCTTGAGACCTGTTGCTGGTAATGCATGCAGTGGACCAGCCGGACAGACCCACAGGCTTTCTACTCATTAGCCAAAATAGAAGGATGAGAGGCACTGCTTGTGTGCCTCCCAGTGAGAACAGAAGTGTAGGTGCAGAGACTTTATATAAATTATAAATCAGGATCTGTGCGAAGGACCATTACTACTGCTAGTATCACATACAGAATAAAGACGACCCATGATATTCTAGTTGGTTAGTAAGGAGGACTCCCAGGCTTGAAACTGATTAGAGGGGGAAAGGGCGTGGAGGCCCCCCCTGGACCTCAGGCTGCTGTCCCGGCCCCCCTCAGCTTACCTTTGTCACTGGGGATGGATGCCAGCTCCTCGACAGCACCCCGGTGTTCCTCGTGGCTGGCCGGGCCGGAAGGCTGGGGGGATGCCAAGGGCACGGAGGGAGAGCCGGCAAGGTTGCTGGGCTCCAGGAGGAGGAAGGGGTGATCACAGCTGCCACTCTGGGGGGGAGCGGGGGCGCGGTGCCCATCAGGTATATCAAGGATCTGCCGGGGAAGAGGGTGGGGAAGGACTCTCAGGCCCCTCTCTTCTGGCCAGCAGAGCAGCAGTGACCCTTAAGCTCCTCCCCTCGCTGTTGTTCTGGCCTCTATCCCTGACACACAGCGACACCAGGACATGGCTTTCTCAAGTCACTGATTTAAGGGAAAGCCCCTCCTATTTCTCCCCTAGCCCTTGCGACCCCATCTAGAATCACATGTTTATTTGTATGGTTTCATCATGGTGATGCCACCAGCAGGCTGTAAGCCTCGAGGGCAGGGACCTTCTCCGGGAACACAAAGATGAAGAACATTTGGGAAGCACGATAGGGGGCGAACCACCAGGACACTAACCACGCAAGCCACTGCAGGACAGGCATGCACATCATTATCACGTATGAAATACCCCCTCCCTGCTTCTTAGCCATCAATGGTACTTGTACCCACAGCTCACTGAATTGTGAGCAGGTGCCTGGGTGGGTATCAAATCCTACATATATGGCAATTAAAAATCAACTGGCAAGTAACTCATAAACTGAGGAGTGTGCCCATTAGAATTATATTAATACTGCCCAACTGGCATTCTCCAATTGTACTGTGTCAGTATAAAAATGTGCCTGAGACGGCAGAAAAGGTAGCAAATAATTCTGCCTGGGAGTGGGGTGGGGGTGGGGGGGGAGGGGGGAGGCTGCGCAAGGGCAACTGGGCGTGAAGGATGAATGCAGGTCACCAGGTGGACATGGGGGGAGAGGTGGTTACACAGGCGACTGAGGCACGGGAGGGGGACAGTGATGGTGACGGGGATGAGGGAGCAGGGAGCCCGCGCTTTGGCTGAAGAGCGGCGCCGAGCCCCTTCCTCCTGGCTGGGGAGTCTCCCCTCCACTGAGCCCCGCTCCCTCTCTTCCCACCCAGCACCACAAGCCTGTCCCGGCTCCAGCGCCCGGCTCTGCTGTCCTGGTGGCCAAGTCCATTTGAATCTAATGAACCCGATTTGTGTTCCTTGTGCAGGCTGGCATTTGCACTGTGCTGCTGACGTGGCCCCAGCCCGGAGCCCCCAGAGAGCCAGAGTGCCCCCGGCCTGCACGCACCCACACTCAGCAAGCCGCTGGCTCGTCGCGCATCGAGGGCGTGCCCCACTCACCCGCAGCAGCTCCTCTTCACCCTGTTCCTTCACAAACACCTCCTCCAGCTCTTGGTTGAGCCCTTCCAGGCTCCGGTGCAGGCAGGGGCTGAGTCGCAGGACAGGTGACCCTGAGGGGAAGCTGGGAGGGGACGCCTGAGGAGGAGGCAGATGGAGCGGTCACGGAACCCCCCCCTCCCCCCCGCCACCGCCCGAGCCCCGTAGAGTTACTAGTTCTGACCAGGGGGTAATGTCATGTCTACACAGCAGAACCAACCGAGTAAAGGAGATCTGGGCATGGGGACCGACTGCAATAGGAAAGCTCAGTCGGCTTTTCTCCGGAGGTTAGCGCTTTGAGAGTCTAGAGCGTGCTTTCAGCGCTTGCAGGCTCACCACTGCGTCAATTGTAGGGGGGTGCGGGGTTTGGGGGGAGAGCCATTGGCGAGGGCAAGAAGCCCTTCCGGCCTCGCTCAGCAACCCCCAGTTTGTGCCCAAACCACCTAGGCAGCCACATGGCTATGGGGTGGGCAGCGTGGCAGGCTCAGTCAGAGGCTGTAAGACCCGCGAGGACCTGCCCACACGGGGCCGCCACGGGCGACATCAAGGGGAGCGGGCCCGGGGAGGGGGCGGACACATACATACCCTCAGTGCTCCCCGCACTGCATGGTCCCCTTGCAGGGGGGAGCCCCGCTCCTTCTCTTTCCCGCTGCGACTTAGCTTTGTCCTCTGCAGCTGTTGCTTCAACTTGGAAATCTGGTAGCCCAGAGATGGGAGGGGGGAGAGGCAGGTGGAGCAAAGCTAAAGGGCACGGGTTCCTCCTCCCCGCGTGGCTCCCGCCCGAGGCCCATGATAATGCGTAAAAGGAAGATGGAAAACCTCCCAGGAGACCGGTGAGTTCAGGACTGATGACACGCTCATTGGGCCAGCTGGAGACCTTATTAACTAGGTATTCGGTGTTTCTGAATTATCATGTATTCTATGGATCAGTTGGAAATACGAATCAGATGGATCAGTTTCCAAAAATTTCAAAATACGCAATGCCGAAACCATTTTTGTCTTTCACGGATTCCAAAGGCGTGGAATACTACTCTATTAATAGAAATGGGAAATGATGTTTTTGAATTCACTCTTCAAAGTACATTCACAGCTATTTCAAAGGCCGCAGGACCAGGAAAGATGGAAGGGTTTCCCCTCATTTTAGAGTAGACTACACCGAACAAGGAGCAGACGCCAAGGAGTATCAGATTTTGTCCTGACTTCCATATCTTGTAACAATTATGCATTATTATCAACAGTTTTGACTATTGTCTCTGTCACATTTGTAACTCTCCACCTGCTCGTCCTCAGCAGGCGAAGGCTCAGGAGATGAAGATCTATTTAAATATGGGCCCATATCGGGATTCAGAGATATCTGCCGCCCATAGCCATACAAGTTATGACCACTGCCAAGAAGAAAGTGGTTTTAGATCTGCTGTCGGGCACCATTCACACCATGACTCCACGCTTAGTGTAAATAACTTGCTTACTCTGATCATTCCAAACTTAAAATACTCCATATTTCCCACTAGCTTTCAACTTGTAGAGCATTCCCTTCACATTTTCTCTGTTCTTGCAACCAAGAGAGGCTCGAGGTGACTCCCAGCGAGTCGACCCTCAGGGGCTGCCAGCTGGAGTGGCAGGAGGAGCTGGGTTAGGAGCCCGGAATCCCCGTCTGTGCTTCTCTCTATTCAACCTCAGTGACTGGAGTCCTCCTGAGGGGACGGGGGCAGTGAAAAGTGTTGGGGAACACACAACACTTTTCTAAAATATTTTTTAGAATTTTTCTCTTCTAAAAATTTTTCTCTTCTAAAAATAAGGCTGGATGGGACACCTGGGTGGCTCAGTTGGTTAAGCGTGTGCCTTCGGCTCAGGTCATGATCCCGGGGTCCTGGGATCGAGTCCCGTGTCGGGCTCCCTGCTCAGCGGGGAGCCTGCTTCTCCCTCTGCCTGCCACTCCCCCTGCTTGTGCTCTCTCTCTCTCTGTCAAATAAATAAAATCTAAAAAAAAATTAAATAAAACAAAAAAAAAGCCTGGATGCACAGTTAAGTAGGTGGTAAGGTTGGGGGCTTCCAGTTCCCAGAAACTCACTCGGAACGGCTTATCTGGATACAAGCTCCAAGCGAGAACAGTGGTGGCTCCCACACTGCACTGGGCTGCTGGAGGGCACCAGCAGTCGCTGACAAAGGCCCTGCCGGCGGAAGGGGCTGGACTCCTAAGCCGGGCCACCAGGACACTGACAGGCAGCTTTGAAGGAGACATCTCATCCGGAAAAGGCAAGTGAGACCCAAGATGTGAGGCCACTTTGCAGCAGACACATCCACGGCCCTGGGCGTGGACAGGAGGCAGCTGCCGTGGCCAGGGAGTCAAAGGGAGCACATACCTCTTTTCGGTGGTCTGTGCTGCCCCAGGACGCCGAGCGCTTGTGTGTACAGGAGCTGGCCCGCTCACCTTCCAGCTCTTGCCAGGACAGGGGCGTCTGCAGGGGGAGAAACCCCATGAGACAGAGCAGCTTCTCGGCAGGCCCCAGGGAAGCAGCCACTTCCTGGACAGAGGTGGTGGCTCTTTGAAGGCGTCTCTGTTGTCTGGTCATCAACCTCCTGAACACTGCCTGCCTCTTTTATTCTTTGAGGCTTCTCCGCCTGCACCGCCACTCTCCCAATCCACGTCCTCCAGGAAGCCTTCCCCAATGAGCCAACAAGGCCAACCTTCTCTTTACTCTCTTGTGACTTTTACACAGGGATTCTGGCCCCAGCTATTCCAGGTGCCCCCCATGGGACAAGTCCTGCCCCTCCCTCTCCCAACCAGCTCCAGAAGAACACGGGCTCGGGGGACCCCTGGCATCCTCGATTCGTGGACCCTTTATGGGTCCAGCACAAGTTCAGGTTCTTGGGAGCATCGTGAAAAACAAGTTACTAGACGGGATTCCATTAAGCAATCATTATTATTTGGTAAAACAGGAAAAATGTCAGTAGAGGTCCCCCGTCCTCCATCTTCGACCAAAGCAGGAGACTTCCATGTAGCACAGTGTCTCAAGCTGGTTTCATGATTTTTCCTTGCACACAGACTTGAAGTCCTCCTGAATAGGCATGGGAGGGGACATTCTCAGGAAGGAGGAAGCCAGAATTCTGAACTCAGCCCTGACCCTGACCCTTCCTGGCTTTATCACAGCTCCTTCTCCAGGGCCCTGTGCTGCCCTTTGTGAAAACAGACCTCTCAGTCGGCCATATGCCCCCGCCTCCTCCCCACTCCCCAGCTGCATAGAAGGCCAAGGGCCCAAGATTGAGGCAGGGGGAGTTGCAGACCCACTTCCTGGGCCCCAACCTGAGGGAGGAAGCTGTTGGTTTAAGCATGAGGCAGAGGAGGACTAGATCACTTCCCACCACCAACACCCCCTACTTCCATTCCAAGGGAGGGGCCCAAGGAGGAATGCTCCAGGGGAACCAGCTCTGACTTCTCTACATGAGCTGCCAAACCATGAGGGCCTGGGAACCATCTCCTCCAACAGATCTGCTGACCTCCCCCGAGAGGCTGTTGCAAACAGAAAAGGGGGAGGATAAGAGGGGGGGGGGAAAAGAACCCCAACCACTCACCACCCAACAGCTGTGAAGAAGAGTGGGGGGGGGACAGATTGCCCTGTGTGACAGCTGTATGGAGGGGCCACAGGGGACTGAGTCTCCCTGGCTCTTCCTTCTCCCAGCTGCTGACCAAGGACCTTTCCCGGGCCATGCGACACAGCCAGGGTGAGACGGCTGCCCCACCCTCCTTCCCTGACAGCGCAGCAAGGAAGACGGGCCAGGGCTCCAGTCTCCATACCCCCGTCTTTCAGGAAGAGGGCAGGCAGCACATCCTTCAGGCCGCAGCCCAAGCCCTCAAGGTGAAGCTGCCTGTGACAGCGTACGGCAACCAAGCGGCTGGCTGGTCAACTTCCAAATGCCTGTGTCTCCCCAAACTGGGGTGCCGGCAGCCAGAGCCTGAGGAAAGCTGCGGCACATACTGCGAAGTGAGGAGGAGGGCCCCCTCTCCCAGAGCCCCCTCAGCCCAGCACACACACAAACACGCCTCCAGTCCCGGGGCCCCAAAGCCAACCCTCCAGATCGTTAGCTCTGCTCATCCAAGTGGAGCTCCACGCAAGCCTGCTGTCCCTGGAAGGTGGCTGAGGCCACAGGGGAGGGATGGTGAAGGCTAAGCTGATGATGCCCATTTCCCTTCCACCAGGAAGGTACCGCACTCACAACAGCCCCATCCAGGCTGTCGGCTGCTCTGTTAACATCTCTTGCAGACTCTTCAACTGCCTCCTTCCTTCTGAGATGTGTGAGAGGGTGGAAGGAGAAACGTGGGCTGGCAGTGGAGGCTAGAAAGGATGTGAAAATTCACGCCAAGAGAAAGGGGAACCCTCCTTCACTGCTGGTGGGAATGCAAGCTGGTGTAACCACTCTGGAAAACAGTATGGAGGTTCCTGAAACAGTTAAAAATAGAGCTACCATACGATCCAGCAATTGCACTACTGGGTATTTACCACAAAGATACAAATGTAGGGATCCAAAGGGGTACGTGCACCCCAATGTTTATAGCAGCAATGTCCGCAATAGCCAAACTGTGGGAAGAACCAAGATGTCCATCGACAGATGAATGGATAAAGAAGATGTGGTATATATACACAAGGGAATATTATGCAGCCATCAAAAGGAATGAGATCTTACCATTTGCAACGACGTGGATGGAACTGGAGGGTGTTATGCTGAGTGAAATAAGTCAATCAGAGAAAGACATGTATCATATGACCTCACTGATATGAGGAATTCTTAATCTCAGGAAACAAACTGAGTGTTGCTGGAGTGGTGGGGGGTGGGAGGGATTGGGTGGCTGGGTGATAGACATTGGGGAGGGTATGTGCTATGGTGAGCGCTGTGAATTGTGCAAGACTGTTGAATCACAGATCTGTACTTCTGAAACAAATAATGCAATATATGTTAAGAAAAAAAAAGAAGAAGAAGAAGATAGCAGGAGGGGAAGAATGAAGGGGAATAAGTCGGAGGGGGAGACGAACCATGAGAGACGATGGACTCTGAAAAACAAACTGAGGGTTCTAGAGGGGAGGGGGGTGGGGGGATGGGTTAGCCGGGGGATGGGTATTAAAGAGGGCACATTCTGCGTAGAGCACTGGGTGTTATGCACGAACAATGAATCATGGAACACTACATCAAAAACTAATGATGTAATGTATGGTGATTAACATAACAATAAAAAAATTAAAAAAAAAAAAAAGAAAATTCACGCCAAACTGGGATCGTGTCTCTCGGTCCGTCTTGCCTCACCTCTCCGCTCAGCCACATCTTCCAGCCACCGCTGCTGCCTCAGTATAAACCATGCTACTAAGGCCATTGTTCTGCCTCAACACTCGGCCAGACCCTGGTCACGGATGTCGCCATCCTACCTTCCATCCACGGGCCCTCTGTACCGGGCCCTCATCGCATCCAGGCAAACCTAGCTCTGCCTCCTTTCTCCCCTTACCCTGGACCCCAAGCCTGGCCTCTCCGTCTCAGAGGGCCTGCCCTACCAACTCTTCCTAGCCTTGCCCGCGGGGAGCCCGTCTAACTTGTCTACCTCTGTTAGAGGTAGGTTGCTGCCTGCTCCTCGGCCCCACGTCTCCTCCGTACAGATGGGCTCCGAGTATCCATCATCCACACGCTCAGCGTAGAGTTACTGAATGCGCACTGCGTGTCAGGTACCGTTCCGGGGCTGGCAACACAGCAATGCACAAAACAACAAAAATCCTTGTTCCCTTTGAGTTTATGTTCTAGTTGGGGACATAGTTGAAACAGTACTAAGAGATAAGTACTAAGAGAAAAACACAGCAACAAAAGGAGATAGGAATGCTGGGCAGGGGAACATGATTTTAAATGTCAGGGACATCCTCAATGAAAGAGTAAGGAAAACGTGAAGGGGATGTGGGAGTGAGCCATGTGGGTATCTGAGGTAACAGTGATCCAGACAGAGGGAATAGCAAGCGCAAAGGCCCTGAGGCAGAAGCGAGGCTGGTTTGTTTGAGAATGATAAGGAGGCCAGTGTGGCTGGAGCAGAGTGAGCAAGAGGCAAAGCAGTAGATGAGGAGGTCAGTAGGTGTGAAAGCCTGAAAAATGGCCCTACAAAGATACCAGGTCCCAATCCCTGGAACCTGTAAGTGTTACTTTATATGGTAAAGTTTTTGCAGATGTGATTAAGTTATGGATCTTGAGATGGGAAGATTATCCTGGGTTGTCCAGACAAATTGGGCCATTACAAGTGTCCTTATAAGAGAGACGGAGGGCAATCAGACACACATGGAGAAAGATAAGGAGATGTGACCACAAAGGCAGACACTGGAGTGATGTGGCCACAAGCCAAGGAACGCTGGCAGCCACAGAAGCTGGAAGATGCAAGGAATGGATCAAAAGATGCAAGGAATGGATCTCTCAGCGAGTCTCCAGAGAGCATGCAGCCCTGCCAACACCTTGATCTTGGCCCAGTGAAACAGAATTTGACTTCTGGCCTCCAGACCGGCGAGAGAATAGGTTTTGTTGTTTTAAGCCATGAAGTTTGAGGTCATTTGTCACAACAGCCCCGGGAACCTAACACAGTAGGTCATCCTGTGTGTGAAGCCGTGTCCATGCTGGCTTTGAGCATCTGTAAGGCAGGCTCATGCACGGGTGTGGGCTTTGGCCCCTCCGACTCAATGGGGCATGTCAAGAGTGGGGACCATGCCCTGCTCCCTAGTTCCAGTGCATCTGGGTAGACGGCCCGCATAGCCTCTGGGTCTCACCACAGAGGTCTGAGCCAAGGTCTCCCTGGGGCACAGAAAGGTCACAGCTAAGGAAGGCTCCCCTTCGAAGAGTGCCCCTTTATGGCACAACAAGGGTCAAGCCATGCGGCAGGACGGCAATGGAAGGAGTCGCTCTACATGATCCTTTGGAAGCGGAGTGGAGCTCGAGCTTTGGTCAGCAGATCAAAACATTGTATTCGTCAAGGGGATTCATGCACTGGAACAGATTTATTTTAACACCTTGGCCCAAGGGGAGCAGCTGAGAGAGAAGCAGGACCATGTACTAGCCATGAGTGACGTCAGCCACCTGTGCAGATAATGCTCAAATTATGCAAAACTGGATGTGGGTCAAACCCAAGAAGCCTTGCCTGGGCTTCTGAGCTCCCAGGGCCACGTGCGGAAGGATAACTGGGTGTGGGGGTGGAGGACAGCTTTCCAAAGAACAGCCCGAAAGAACAAGACGGCAGGGGTGGGATGGAGCCGAAAACCCTCCAAACTAGAACCTGTTTCTCTGACCCCAACCCAACTCAGTTTCTACCTGGACTCCCAGGCAAGGGTCCCAGCCCTGCTGTCTCCAGGGACCTTGGTGGAGCCAGTTAGGCCCTGGGAACACAGCCCCATATACCTACGTGGGGACCAAGAACAGTGTGGTGCCTGGCCTGGTACAGATGCTCAGTAACTACGTGTGGAACATGACATTCGGCAGGGAATCAGCCCCTGGGGGACTCTGGCGAAACACAGGCAGGAAAAGGCTCTCCAAGGGTGGTCCGCTGGCCCACGCCAGGAACTCCGGCTGGAGGTGGCCAAGGCCACCGTCCCTGGCCCTCCAGTGACTACGTAACCCTCAGATTTTCCATCATGGACCCATTTTCAAATATTCTGTGCTGCTGTCAAACCATATGCTGACCAACTGGTCCTGCTTGCCAGTTTGGAAAACAGGCGCCATGCCCAGGCCCCCACACCCAGAAAGCAAGCCTGTGATGGGCAGACTCGATCATGTGTCATCACTAAACACCGAGGCACTGGCTTGGGAAAAAGAGTAACGAAAGGAAAGAACACACAGTAGGGAAAAGTCACAAAGGGAAGTCTTCCTCAACAAGGAAGCCTTGTTGGCTCTGCCTCTGGTCTACGAGGCACTCTTGGAGATTTGTCAAGGACTTCAGCTATTTTTTCCCCCCATCGGATAAATCAAGCCTAAAGAAGAAAGTCCATGCTAGAGGCTTCCGCACCTCCCCTGGAGAGTGTGGAGGAAGCAGGGCTGGGATGAGCAGCACAGGGGGCCGGGCAGAGTGGGAACCCAGGGTCCTGTCAGTCTGCAGGATGAGACCAGCAGGGGAACTGTGCTCAAACAGTCATTCCAGCTGTGGTGAGACCACTTCCTCCCTACAGAAGAGTGCACAGAGACACGAGGGCTTTGCACAGCAAGACGGGAGGTGGAGACGGTACCCCGCCCTGGCCCGCCACTAGCAGGGCCAGCCCAGAGCACTTGGTGGCCAGCGCGGGTTTACCAGCTGACCTGGGGACAGGGCGGTCCAGAGAGGGGAAAACGTATTCAGATTGGCCTGCAGAATCCTGACAAAGTCCTCCAAGACACAAAGAACCTCCTCCCGATGATGGGGACTCCATCCAGGAGCCTTGCTAGTCCTCCCCGGCTGGCCACTCTGTGCCCCACTCCCGCTGCACCCAATCTCTTCCTTGGGCTCACCAAGCTTCTCAGTGGGAGACTGGGCAGCTCTCTCCCATTGCTCCTCCTGGCTCAGAACAGGCAGAATTTCACAGGACACCCAATTCCCCACATAAGACTCAGGCACCTCTCTTCCTCCCCTGCCCCAAATAACTTGGTAGCCATCTTGCAAGGAAGACTCGAGAATGCAGCACGCTTGGCTATCTAAATGGCAGGTGCTCTGTGTCTGCGGTCCAGGTCAGAAACATGCTTGGAACGGGCAGGGTTCTTGTTTCCTCTAGGAGGTTCAGCCCAACTATGGTGCTGCCCTCACTACAAGGCATGTCCCCAGGAACGCCGGGGCTGACATGGGCTCCAAACACCACACTGGAGCTGCTGGCTCTGGGGTGGGGGGTGGGAAGGCAAACAGGAGGACAGAAGTGAGGGCCTGCCTGCCAGACACAGTAGAAGTGCTACACTGGTGTGTCTGGAAGAGAAGGGGCAGGAAGCAGGGGTAGGGCTCAGAGAAATGAGGGAAAGGTGCTGGCCTCAATCTATTTTTTTAACAACATAAAAGCTTTCAAGAACTTTGGTAAGGGGCGCCTGGGTGGCTCAGTTGGTTAAGCGGCTGCCTTCGGCTCAGGTCATGATCCTGGAGTCCCGGGATCGAGTCCCACATCGGGCTCCCTGCTCAGCAGGGAGTCTGCTTCTCCCTCTGACCCTCCCCCCCTCATGCTCTCTCTCTCTCTATCTCATTCTCTCTCTCAAATAAATAAATAAAATCTTTAAAAAAAAAAAAAAAAGAACTTTGGTAAATCCTGCCTCCCCACCTTCCCTCTACCCTTGTCCATGCCCCTTGTATATAGCCCGTTCTGGGGATAGGCCCATGCTCTGGAGAGAAGGAACACCAATCACTTAGAGAGAGGTCAGCAGAGCCTCAGGTCTTCCTGGTGTAATGCCAGTGTTGAAGGAGGTAGTTTGTGTCAGGCCGGGGGGGGCTCGAACAGGAATTTGACTGGAGCCCAAAATCTAGAAGCAGAAAATTCCCAGAAGACCAGGACTGAAAGATGGGCAGAGCGCATATTTTGGTTTGGATGCCTACGTTGATCAGAATTCTCCTACCTCTTGACTCCAGCCACAATATTGACAGGTTGCTAAGAGTTCCTCGAGGGCTGGAGCCCATCCCGGGAAAAGAGGAAAGCTGCACAGCTTGGCCTTGCCAGACCCACGGAGGCGCATCGCTGACCTCTGTCTTGCCGTGGCAAGAAGCCCAGACTTGTTATATAAAAGATCTGGCCTGCAGCTGGAGCCCGAGCAAAAACACATAGCCTAGAGCCCAGGCCTCTAAATCCCGCCAGGGAACATCTGAGGCCAACCTTCCCTTGAGTTGACAAAGAGAACACTCTCCAAGGAGTGGGGTAGAGGCTTCCTAGAAGGTTGGTGGCCGGAAGTGACAGAGATGGGGAGAGGTGGGAAGCCTGCACCTGACAAAGGGGGATGCACTCACGAGCTTGCACACCAGAAGCAGCCTCGGGTCCTGTCCTCCGGGAAGCCCTACTTGACTAGATACATTCTTTGGATTAAACACTCCTCTCCAAAGAGAAGGGGGTGTGTACTCCAGGCCTATGAGGGCAAAGCAGAAGCCATCTTACTCAGCCTTTCCCAAGGATGCAGGGAACAGCAGTGCCTGGGGCTCCAAGGAAGCAGGCCCCCGCCGTCCACCACTGGAGTCTGTCCTCCCTTCACTTTCTGTTTGTAGATCTAAAGAGGGCCACTGATCTCAGCTGCAGCAAATTCTTGTTGGTTCAAGGTGGGGCATTCCCATGAGAATTCCTCTCCTCTAAACCATGCCAAACATTTGGCCCCATCTCATCCCTTGGCTGTCTGTTCACTGGCCTTCATGGAACTGGCATCCAGACTCACAGAGGCCAAATCTTGTTCTCATTTCCTTATCCTTCATTCCAACATGCCGGGAACAGTACTGGGCATTCAGATGTTCACTAGCAGCATTTGAAAATGGATCTCACTAAAAAAAATAAATAAAAGAAAGGGACCAACGGGACATGCACAAAAGAGGAGGTAGGGGACGTGAGTGCACGGAACACTTTCACGCTTGGCTGTCACCCCACCTGCAAAGCAAGAAGAGTGGGCACACGCTCCCGGCTTGCAAAGGAAGAGCCGACTTGCCCAGGACCCCCCAGGATACAGGGCCGCTTCTGAGCCCCTGTTCTTCCCACCCTGTTTCCTCTTTCCTGAGTACAGCTCATGTGTTCTGAAGTCAAACACGCATGGGTTTAAACTGTATCAAAAAGAGAAAAGACTGGACTCTGAACAACTGCTAAGAACGTTGAAGTCCTGAATCAGATTAAGATATATCTTCGTATGGGGACACCTGGGTGGCTCAGTCGGTTGAGTGTCTGACTCTTGATTTTGGCTCAGGTCGTGATCTCAGGGTCGTGAGATCAAGCCCCGAGTTGGGCTCCGTGCTCAGCCGGGAGTCTGCTTGGCATTCTCTCTCTCCCTCTGCCCTTCCCCACCCCTGCAGGGACACTCTCTCCCTCTGTCTCTTAAATAAATAAATAAATCTAAAAAAGAGAGAGAGAAAATTTTACATAGGAGACGACTCCTTGCTCCGGTGAACACTATCTTATTCAAAAACTCCGGGAAGCCCGGAGTTTGGGTGGGTGATCTGCGGAGATTCCTTCCAAGTTTAGGATTCTTATTGAAAAGACTGCCAGGAAGAAAAATACTGACAGAGAGGACCTGGGCTCCAAAGGACTCGAACGGGCCCAGTGGACTCCCATGGGCTGCTGGCTAGGGCTTGAGTCTTCATTATCTGAGAGCTTTCCACTCTTACTGCTCCAGCGGGATCTACCCAGGCTCAACACACTTTTTGGGCCTCTCTCCCAGTTGTCTGGGGAATACAAACTCTGTTGAATGTTGGCTTGCTTAATTTTAGAAAGGTAAATCTCATTTTTGAAAACCTAGAAGAGATTCCAAAGTCAACTCTTGCTTACCCACACACGAAGACTCAAAGCCAGACTAGAAAACCCAGATTGACTTCTCTCTTCCACCAGCCAGGTGGAATGCAAACTCGTTTTCGCCTAAGTTTACAGAGAAAACCAAGCTGGTAAATATCAGATGCTGAAAAGCCATATGGTGAAGATATACAGCCAAAACCCAGGCCAGATCATTTCAGTGACTGAGAGTTGGTAAGTAGACCAAAGGTCTCCTCAGCCAGCCCCCACCCCCCATCCTTATCCCCTTAGGAGAGCACGTCATTACCTGGGTGGCTTTGTCATTGGTACAGCAGGTGAAGGCCCCATCGGCATCTCGTGGCCACTGGCCCAGAAGGTAGGAGCTGAGGATGGTGTCCAGGGAGAATGTACGCCGGACCTGGGGTGGCTGAGGCCTACACACTGACTTTTCTGGGGCCACGGAGCATGGGACGCTGGCTGGAAGAGAGCACAGCCCGCATACCTTGGCATCAGCATGGAGGAAGGAGGCGAGCTAACCAACCTCCTGTCTCCTAGGAAATCCTCACCTGATGGCCATGTCTTCACTTGTACCCACCTCCCTCCTAAAAGATTCTTTGAAGCGGCCCGTAAAAGCCAATACAGTCTGACCAGAGCTTTTCCGACTTAACCAGCTGGCCTTTATCAATGGAAACAATTTATACCATTTTACTTTAGACAAGGCGTTATTTTATAAGTGTCTTCTATCTTTTTCCTGTTCCTAGTGGACTATGAGCCCTGAACTCCTAAGTCTTGGATTGAGTTCCCAAGAGCAGGACTGTTTCCCATCATTAACGAGGGAACTCTAAGAGGCCCCAAACCAATCTTTCATCCCTTGCTCTGCCTCTCTCCAGCACCCACTGCAGGGCTCCTAAGCAGTGCACAAATTCAACCCAATTAACTGAAGGACTCTTCATACTTCCTTCATGACTGGTTAGCTCAGGGAACCTAGGTGACTGAGACAAAGAGAACAATAGAACTCCTTTCAACCCTCCGGGATGGAGGAATCCAGCTCAGGAAAATCAGTCCTTTGGTTCCCTCCTCTGTCTCCCCTCTTCTGGCTAAATGGGACAAAAATAAAGCAATTATAAATCCATCTATTTAATTTTTACCTTGGTTAAAGCTTTTCGGGAGAAGGTAAAAATTGAGACTGTTGATAAAATGTAAGGGTTCTGGAATCATCTGTAAGTTTCAATCATCTATCTGGGTTGACCCTGCTTTCCACGGCCACATTCAAAACATTCTACTATCTTAAGATCTGTAAAACCTCTTTCCTTTAAACAGAGCAAAACATTTTCACATCTGTAGTAATCCCTTGATGATTCATGTGTGCCTCTAGCACAGCAAAAGGAACTGGGGACCGTAGGTATAAAAAAACTTGAAGAGGGCGCCTGGGTGGCTCAGTTGGTTAAGCGACTGCCTTCGGCTCAGGTCATGATCCTCGAGTCCCTGGATCGAGTCCCGTATCGGGCTCCCTGCTCAGCGGGGAGTCTGCTTCGCCCTCTGACCCTCCCCCCTCTCATGTGCTCTCTCTCTCTCATTCTCTCTCTCTCAAATAAATAAATAAAATCTTAAAAAAAAATAAAAATAAAAATAAACTTGAAGAGCTTTATATTAAAAAGACACCAACACATTGGCAGTTCCTCAAAAAATCAAACATAAAATTACCATACAATCCAGCCATTGCACTTCTAGGTAAATATACAAAAGAACTGAAAGCAGGGTCTTGCGCACTCATGTTCATAGCAGCGCTATTCACAACAACCGAAAGGTAGAAGCACCAAATGTCCATCAACAGATGAATGGATAACCCAAATGTGGTGTATACATGCGATGGATCATTAGTCTCAAAGGGGGATGAAATTCTGATACATTCTACAATACAACGAAACTTCAAAACATTATACTAAGTGAAATAAAACAGACAAAAGGACAAATATTGTATGATTCCACTTCTGAGAGGCAAACTCATAGGGACAGAAAGCAGAATCGAGGTTACCAGGGACTTAAGAGGGTGAAGGGAATGGGGAGTTATTATTTATGGGCACAGAGTTTCTGCTTGGCATGATGATAATGTTCTAGAAATGGATGGTGGGGATGGTTGCACAGTATCGTGAATGTACTTAATGCCACCGAATTATGAACTTAAAATGGTTAAGTGGTAAAATTTATGTTAAGCATTTACCATGATAGAAAAGGAGATACTAATAACACTGTATATTCTCCAAATCCGTTTATGTATTTACACACATTTTGACACAGTAGTAATCAATGTGAAATATACATCATGTTCTGCTTTGTTCTACCCATTTCATGTACCCATTCCCAGGTATCAACAATCTACATATTTGTCATTTCCAATGACTACATAATATCCCACTAGGTTGGTATACAGTTGTCCGCTTGAGGGGTCTCCCTGCCCACAATCTAGATATCACAAATGTTACTGCATGGATAACTTTCAATCTGTTTTTATCGAATTCCTGGCATATTTCTGAGTCCTCTCCCTCAGCTAGCATATGTGTTCATTTAACACAAAAGAAAATGACACATCGCAAAAGTAGTAAGCGTGAATTGCAGAAAAGTCAGGAAATACCTAAACAAAAAGAAAAACCTCAAATCTCAATATCCAGAGATAATCACTGCAATACTATGAGAGAGAGATCCTTGTCAGCCTGACTGCTCTGTGTAGGTTTTAAAATAAAAAATGGGACCATACTATACAAATTGTTTTGCAATATGCTTTCACCTTATACCATAAACACTCTTCCAAATAATATATATTGACCTACAAGATATCCTTTTAAAAGATCTTAACATTTCTGTTAAAACTCTTCAAAGGCTCATTTTCGAAGACAGTAGCCAAAGGCCTCATGTTCTGGTCCCACTTACCTTTCCTGTACATTTCACTCCTCTTCAACGTCTCTATGTCCTGGACAAGCTGTACTATGAACCATTTCCCACCCATATCCTGTGCCTTCCCTCCTCTGAGGTTTTGCACAGGTGCCCAGAGTTGAAATCTGCCCCATGTGTTGGGGCCAGCCTAACTGCCTTTACACCCACAAAGCCTTCTGGATTCCCTGGAAGGATTTTCTGATTTTCCCCAGCTCTTTGTACTCTTCTAGTACTTAGAATCCTCTCTCTTGGATTATGGGTATTTTAACTCCTAGATAATAAACAACCTGCGGCCAAGGACTGTCTCTAATTTATCTTTGTACCCCACACAGTGCCGAGAACATAGGGCTGGTGTTTGGCAGATGCTTAAGTATTCATATAAAATCAAAAAACCGTTACTACAAGGGAACACTTGCTCTAATTATATCATGGATTCGAAGTTTGTCTGCCTTGCACATCCATGCTCAACCCGCCCCCAACGAGTAAAGCCCCTAGGGCTGCCTGTCTCTACCTTTCTCTGGCTCAGGAAGGCCTGGCCTCTCTCTTCTCCTCCCTGGGCCTTGTCACCCAGTAAAGTCAGTGATAGGCATGCTGGGTTCAAGCCCCAACTTCACCTCCCACACTAGCATGTCAACCACTCTTTCTCCTGTCCTGGGTTTAAGATCAAGAGGTGGCAATCCAGATATTTTGGGGAGGTTTTGACGCATGCCGGCAGGCAGGTCAGACACAACACTGCTGCCCTGTGGGCCTCTGAAACCGTCTGGGAGAGCCTAGGGAGGAGGCGGGCGGCAGCCCCAGAAAGCAAGTTTACGGGAACACGTGACAGAGCAGCAGAGAGGCAGGTGGGAAGCCAATGAGCAAGAGGCTGGCATAAAGGCCAGAACACGGTGATCCTGACAGCTGCTTCAGCAGCAAGGAGGAGGGATCTCTGGGAACAGCCAGGCCCAGCCCTCTGCAGAAACTGCAGCAAAAGCCTCCTGGAGATTTTTCTTTTACTGAGACCACGAGAGCTATCCAGTATTTATATAGAACTTTTAAGGTTCACCCCATCTGCACAGTCCTTTCATACGGGTCTTTACTCTCCCATCAGCCCCAAAAGGAGCTCGGGGGGGTTGTAAGGGAACCGAGGCCCAGAGAGGGCCAGTCTCTGACTGGACTCAGTTGCCCACGAGGTCCAAGGTGGTCCTACGCCTAAACCCAAGCCTCCTTCCTCTTCAGTCACCGCACGCAGGCTCCTGGCCCTGGCCCTTCCACATCAGGAACACTCTCTGAGGTTGCAGGGGACACCTGCCTAGACACCTGCAGGAAGGACTGTCTTTTTAGCTCCTTTTCGGGGAAGGGAGTCTTTTGATGGCAGGCATTGCCCAGGTGTCTGTACTGACTTTCTGTTTTTCGGGTTGGTTGAGTTTTGAAGTCTTTGAAACCTTGGGATTCTACTATCTCCCAGGGACAATTTAAACCACACCCATTTGGTATCAGTTCACATTACCCCTCATATCCCACCCCACTCATGAGCTACAGTAGGAATCCAATCTCAAGGGCAGCCATCAGAGATGGGACCGTACTCCCAGTACTCCTGGGGTGAAGGAGGACCCAGAATCCCGGAATTCGTGGTGAGAATCCAACCACCCACTTTGGTCAACTCTACGTGCTTTCTGGCTACCTTTGACCAAAGCGATTCACAAAGACTCTGAGGGCGTCATGGGTCCTGACTTGCTCTTCCATATACAAAAAAAGTAACACAATAAAAATAAATAAATTAATTAATTTTTTTAAAAAAGGAAGAAAACAAGACAGGAGCGGGAGATAGGAATGGAGAGAAACTGAGCACCCCAATCCAGGACCAGTGGCCCCTGATGCCCTCCTCTCTGCCAGACCTGCAAGGATCTCACTGCATCCACGTCAAGCTGGAGAAGGCCTTGCCTCAGTTTCTTTTCCCTCAAGGAGGCAGCCGGGCCTCAGCCTTATTTCTAGGGTGACCACATCCTCCCGCTGATACAGCTCCTACCAGTCACAAGGTGACAGAATCACCTTCTGTCTCGGAGACCTCAGCAAGTCCCCACTTCCCCTCCCCAGCCCCCAATTCTTGGCATGTCCTGACACCTCTGAAGAGAATTAAAATGCCAGGTTTCCTTCATGCCCAGAAAATGAGGGCACTTTTTGAAAAACTAGATTTTGATAGGAAATGAAAACTTAGCACTTATTTCAGAAACCTCGCCCTAAGTGGTTTGGTGAGCACCTGCTAACATGGGCGCCAAAACCGCTGAAGGGCTAACCCGATGTGTCAAGTTCCCCCCAAGTGCAACACAAAAGAAAGCTAGAATCAGACAGCGAGGGGCATCAGGCTAGAGCAGTGTGGCCCCCAAATATGCATCCTCCAAGGGGCAACAGGCTGAAGTAGTGTGGCCCCCGAATATCCACAAGACGCTCAGATGTGAGGGACCCACTTCTTACCAAGGCTCTACCTTCCTCCTGATGGGACTGCAGCCAACAACACCCAACCTCCCTAGACCTGCCCTCCCATCTGGCAAGCGGAAGCTCAATCC